CCCCCCCCGGCCAAAAAAAAAAAAAACAGTTCTCTGTTCAAAGTTTTCTTTGCGGATTCGGGGAGATCTCGGCAAGCGCAGTCCAACCATGTTTTCAAAAAAATAAATAAATAAAAAATTGACCCAGTTTGGACTCAACCGGAATTCCGGTTGGACCACCGTGGGTCCAGCCGGCCGGTGGCTGGCACAGCCCTGATGGTGCCCCCTTTTTCCTCTTTTTTTTTTGGCAGGGCTCATCCTTGCGCAGGTTCTTGAAGCTGCCTTTTCATTCAATTTCATAAATTTGTTACGATCCTGGTTAATTTCAAAGTGCAAAATCACGAGAAAGTACAACGTCGTCCAATTGCAAAAAGAAATGAATGAACTTGAGAGGAGAGAGAGGTAAAGAAGAGAAAGAAGAAGAAAGAAAGAAGAAGAAAGAAAGAAGAAAGAAAGAAGAAGAAAGAAAGAAGAAAGAAAGAAGAAGAAAGAAAGAAGAAGAAGAAAATGTGCACCAGGAACGGGCAATGATAATTCCCCCTTCTTCTCGCCAACCAAAGTCCTCCTCCTTTTCTCCTCCCCTCTTATTCAAACAATGAATAATAATAATGATGATGAATGGCAGAACCAGAATCAATGTCCGAATCCCTCTTCTATTGCCAGCACAACTTGAGGTCCACCATAGTCATGGCCGCCCTTCTCCTTCCTCTTCACTTAGGCCGAGGCTATGGTGGACTACTAAGGGCCTTGCCCTGACGTGCAAAAGACAACGCAAAGCAGCTATGGCCTCTTCCACTCAGGCCGCCATGCCTGACTCTGCCTCGAAGCTTCTTGATGTAGCTCTATCCCAACGGGGGCCTTCCAGATGCAGCGCCCACCAAGCCGATGAAGATGGCGTCCACCATAGCCAGGTAAGTACCCCTGGCGCTCTCTCCCACTAGTCCCGTCTTCCTCCTCCTCCTGCCCGCACTCCACCATCATAGCCAATGTGGAGAGCTGGGTGCTCCTTCCCCACAGCGCTGATCAAGACCAGTGCTGCTCCACCACGCACTCCAGCAGCGTGCCGCCCAAACTTGCATGCAGCAAATGAGGAAGAGCAATAGCAAGGCAGCAGCCTCCTTGGGCGGTGACATTCAGGCCGTGTGGCCTCCAAGCAACCGGTACCTCCTCCCTTTTGGAGGGAAACATCATTGCAGCTCTGATATCGTCCGCACAGGCCCTAGATTCAGATTACTTGGATTGGTACCCACCTCGACGTAGCCTACTGCTACTTGGCCTCTAAAAATGCCAACTTTTTGTCTTCTTCTGCTCAGCCTCCAGTTCCTGATACATCTACCGCTACTTGAGTGGTACCGGCCTACCTGCTACTTGAGTGTGTTTCCCCGCTGCTCCAAGTTTCGCGGGCCTAATCCCGCTGATAGAGTGTTTTCCCCGCTGCAACCGTCAAAGCCACGGCCACAAGTACCGGTCCTGCGGGGCCTCCCAAGCAAGCAAGTGCCCTTACGGGTCACACACACACTCAAGCCGACAAGCACTCAGACAGGCACGCAGACTAGCACGCACGCACACACAGGCTTAGAAATCAGCAAAAGTGGCAATCTCAGCAAGGCATTCATTCCAGCGGCAAAACTCAGAAATCAGTTGTGTTCTCAGTTAGTGTTTTGGCAGGTCCTTACAGTGCACCCCCATCAAGAGCGAGGTCCCTTCGAGTGAGTAACTGAATCCGAGCGAGGTCCCTTCGAGTGAGTAACTGAATCCGAGTCGCTGACAAACACATCATAAGCGAACATAGCAAAGAGATTTCACGTATATTCAGTAGCAGTGAGTTTTGCAGAGATTTTTGGAACAACATCG